TGTGCAACCTATCCCATTAACACTGAGACTTTTTCTTTGTGGTCTGACTTTGAAAACACCCAAAGCTGGGTATGAAGTTTAGCTCTTAACCAGAAAATACAATTCTCACTGCTCACTTTTCCATGGTTCAAAGTCACATATATGGGTTAATTATTTCTAAATCCAAATTTTATTTCTTAGTTCAGCCATTCATTTTCTCTGAACTCTGTCAGCAATCTGAAGAAATACTGGCTAACTACCAGTGTTGTTGAAGAGTGCCATAATAACTCCAGGCACTTTAAATACTTGACATATTTTATCTAAAGCCTAAAATGTATGTAGAGGTTATTCATTGTCCTTTCCCCTGCATTGTAACTTCCTTTCAAGAAAGTTTTCTTACGACAGTAAGTAATGGTATGCTTAGCCCAATCTACGTAAATTGGCTGAGAATGATGGGAACTATAATCCTATGTGTTTTAAAAAAGATCAGGTTGGCTTAACTGATAAATACAGTAGTTTAAATACAGTAGTTTATCCATCTTTCACTTATGAAAATGGGTGAAATGATTCATTCACAAAACAAATTAAAGTATTCATTAAACTGTAGTGGTGTGCCTGGCTACAAAACTACTCAGCATTAGTCTGAATTCAATCCAAAGTTATCAGGATTTTAATAAATTTCCTGTTTGTTGCTTCCCTGGTATTGCAGAAAGAAAGAGACATCATTAAGTGTCTGTTACAACATGCATTTTACCACCAATCGCAAGTTTTGCCAGCTAAAATGGAGCTTATTTTACATAATGGATAAGCTCTAGCTTGCATTAAAAACTTGTCCAAATTATTTCATCATGTGAGCAGTTTATCATAAGAGATTTATAGGTCTTGGGAGCAGGAAATTCTGCAACCAACACAGACACTGTTCATAAGAATAGTTGTAAAAGTCCTGGTGTAAACAGACTACTTATAAAATTGGGTTAGTTGTATAAATGAGATTGAATTAATGTGTGAATTAACTCCCTATTGCTTGCTTGGAAATTGGCAGAAAACCAGCCTCTGAAGAATTTTGTAGATCCAGTTCAACTCTGGATCAAGAATCTGAATGTAAATAATGTGTTTCTTCTACCCAGAAGCTCTTTCTTGTGGAAAGGCACTGACCCAATTTCTCTCTGCATTTCACCAAAGCCTTTGTCTCTTACCTGGCACTTGCGTCCATCTACTGCCTCCAAATTCTCTTCAAACTCAACCCCAAGGTCAAAGTCCATGACATAGTTTCGCAGAGAAGTTAAGGTGCGAATAATCATATGGTCACCGGTGTGGATGATCTCCTTGTCTGGCTTCAGGAGACAAACCAGCTTCCTCAAGGCCACATTGATATCTAATCGGGAGATTACAAGGACCAATGTTAAATAAATGTTGAAGGACAGTCTCTGTGTACCCCAAAGGCAATGGGAATAATAGCAAGTAACAATGCATGAAACCATGTCCTTGCTATCCATTTTCTCTGTATACATTACCTCAGTTCTTCCTCATTTTGGCCAAGTAATAAAGGAAGATGAAAACAAGAATGTCTTTAACTGACACCCCGCCACACAAACACACACAATCCAATGCAGCAAACATCTGAATCAAAGACAAACCATTCTTTTAACACACTTGTTTAATAGCCAAGTCTTTTCTCACCAAGCTGCCCTAAAAACAGAGCAATGACTAAACCCCTGAGCTACAAATCAGGAAATCCCCATTTAAATCTCACTTCTGCCAGGAATTAATTTGAGGCCACAAAGCAGATTTCTCTCCCCCATTTTTAATACAGCAATAAGGTTGCATTTGAAAGTGCTGTGATCCTCTAGAATCACCACGAGCTTGGGGTTCAAAAGATAAATTGATATTGATTATAAATTGTTGGTGGAGGGCAAGTGTTCCATGAATCAGGCATTGCCTCTAGTGATGATGTAAAGTAAACTCATCCCAGTAGTTTACTTGAGAAAGTGGAAGTGGTTTGCCAAGGCATCTTAGCTTCCCTGTATTCTGTCTTAAGGTCAGCTCTGCTCCTCCCTGGTGCTTTGCCATCTAAATTCTGGCCAGGAGCATCTCTGCTTAGTCTTTCTGAAATCGGGCAAGGGGAATTAGGTTGGTGCCATCAAGAAAAGTCCCAGGAAGAGGAGGCTATCGTAACCTTTTAGGTGTAAAGTGAGATCCTGGAGTTTAACTTTGCCCAGATTATTGCCATCCGAGGGTTGGTGGTTCCCCTAAATCAGGGGTGTCCAACTTTGGCAACTTTAAGCCTGGCGGACTTCAACTTTGCTTTGCTGGCTGGGGAATTCTGGGAGTTGAAGTCCGCCAGGCTTAAAGTTACCAAGGTTGGAGACCCCTGCCCTAAACCATGTGGAGCCGCCAGAAAGCACTCTGGGCGCCAACCAGTCCCGCCAGCATTCATCGCCAACACGGTATTTGGCGGCGGGGAGAGGGGGGGAAAAACAAAACACACACACACACACACAGAGAGAGAGAGAGAGAGAGAGAGAGAGAGAGAGAGAGAGAGAGAGAGAGAGAGAGGTTCGCTTACCCAAGGCACGGAGATAACTCTCCATATTGTCCTGCGAGACGAAGCGGTAGTAGCCGCTGAAATTGGGAGGCATCGCAGCGCAAGAGGCCGACGAAGGCACGGGAAGAAAATGGGAAGGCAGCTGGAGGAAGGCTCCCCGAAAGGAAGGGAGGAAAGAAGGAAGGAAAGACGGGGAGAAGAGAGACGGCAGTTGAAAACAGCCCGCAGCCGGAGCGTTGCTGGGTCCGCCGCCTCGACTTCGACTTCTTTCCCAGCCCTCCCTCCCTCGGCCTTTTATGTAGCGCCGCGGGAGTGCCGAGTCCCGCCGCCCTAAGAGTCACTCCGCTCCAGCCCGCGCGGGCGGGGGAAGCCGCGCCAGGAGCCTTTTCTTCTCGCTTTCCTCCTTCTCCTTTTTCTCCTCATATCACACAAAACCAGGAGGGGGATGGTGGGACAACAGAAGAAACACAGCGACCTTTGCAAAGCTCCACTCTCTCTTTTTCAAAGCGCAAGTTAATCAGGCTCCACTGCCTGGTTCCTAAGTGGATAGGAGACCACGTGTAAATCCAAAAGCTATGGGAGAGGAGTACGTTGGACGACATCCCGGTCAAGGCAATGGCAAAAGCTGTTTCCGTACTCTTCCCAAGAAAACTGCGTGGATGTTTCCTTGAAACTACCAGGAGCTGAGCTTGACTGGAAGACTATTCTAGTTACGATCAGCAGGCGGACATTTTTAACTATTTCAATAGTCCCCTATAGAGTTACCAGCAGTTACCACTGTTGCCTTCTGCACACTTCCTCTTTCCAAATAATTGTCTGCCTAAGGACACCTATTGGTTGATGCTCTTGCTGTTGGGCAACCCTGACAGTGCAGTTAGTAATAGTTTATTGTGCTCTACATGATCCCAGCCAATTCAATAATCTCTTATTTGAGTCCATATGGGCCATCTGCACATTGTGAAGACGCAGCCATAATGTCAGTTTAATGACAAGGCATGAGGAGAAGCGGTTGCTCACTTGGGGTACCCCTGTCCAGCCTTGGCCACTGCAAACATCAAAATGGCTTCCCAGTTTTCTAGGTGAGGCTGTCCCCCAAAACTCCGGAAACTTTTGTGGTTGCTTCAATCTAGATGGACGGTGGGAGAAGTTGTTCCGAAGAGGGAAAAACACCCTGCTCCTTCCCAGACAGGAGTATAAACCAGAACATTTCTTCTTCGTTTTTGGGAAGAATTCTGAAACTGGGTTCCATGGCTGACTTTGCCTGTCTCAAGTTCATACATTGTGTTTTTAAATCGTTATAAGGTATCACATATATTTATATGGTAACCCTGAATACACTCTAATAAGGGCAGTCGGTGGTATCTCGGTGGGGGAGTGACGGTGAAAAAGAAGCTGGCTCTACTCTGTGTATTGAATTTACAGCCAAGACCAAATTATTCTGCTCATGGTCAAATCATAACTATTTTAGGTTGCCCAAGGAAACCCCCCCCCCGCCCCCCAGTAAAACCAGCACCTTCTTCAGGCTGATTTACACATGCATATGCACATCCGTTGATGTATTTATGTGTGAATGAATCGCAGTGATGCAACTTACCGCAGACAATAGTTCTGTGAATTAGTCACAGTCAAATTTCAATAACCCTTCCAGTCATCCCGGCTTGGAAGCGCCTGTGGGAAATTACTCTTTGCTTTTGAGTGACTAGCTCGTCTCCAAAGCCAGCTGAAGTCTGGTCTGCGCACTGATACAGACATCTGATTTATCAGTTGAAGGGAATATAGGCTGCAAATGGGAGTCTGTGCGAGAAGGGTCGTCACAGGCAGGGGGGGTTCATTTCACGGGGGAGGGGAGCTGTCACACTTTCATCTGCCAACACCCCATGGTAAGATGTCAGGCTGGGAATATTCACGCGTGAACCAACATTTGCTCCGTACTCCTCATCATAGCAAGATAGTTGCGGACACCTAGAGGTCTTACTGCGAACTTTCTCACGCCACTGTCATCCTAAAGCAGAGGACCAGCCTAATCTAGAGTAGATCGCGCGGGGAGGGGCTGGAGACCTTCCTTCCAGCGTCCTTTGGATTTCAATTTGTGGTGCGCGAACTGGCCATGCATTTCTTTTCCCTGACTCCTCGAGTTCCCTGCTAGCAAATCGGTCGAAAAACGGGGTTGGGAAAGCGGAGGGGGAAAAAACCCTCATTGACAACTGCATGTCCTTCTAAAGTTCCTATTTTATTTGCCTGTACGAGGCAGGGGGCTCGCTTGGATACACGTGCCCGCCCCCATCCCCTTCCCACAGAAAAAGACAACCCTACCTCCCTTCTGGCCTTCCCACGCCCCCCGCTACCCCTAAGTCTTGGTCCCCTCCCTCTCCTGCAGCACCTGGCTGGGGCGCCCCTCGTATTGGCTGCGAGGGCCCATCAATCAGCGTCGGGCGCTGCTGACATCATGCTGCAGTACAGGGGCTGGGCCGGACCAGAGAAAGGAGGCGTCCGGGAGCTCCAGCTGGCGCCCCGTCCCGGGCAGTGCCTCGACAGCCGACCGCTGGGTCTGGGTGAGAGCAGATCGTAACGACAGCCGTCAAGGCACTCTCCTTCGGCGAACGAGACCGAGCCTATCCCGGGCAGCGAGCGGTATTTCCAAGGCTTTTCTAAAATGGGCTGGGGGATGCCCCTCGCCTCCGCCCCTCTCCTCCTCCTCCTCCTTGTCTCCTGCACCCTCGGCAACAAAGGTGAGCCAAGTCGAGGCGCCCGGACTCCCCCAGGAGAGGGCTGGGCTGGGCGGGTGTGTGTGTGGTTGGGAAGCTCTTTGAGCGCCCTCCGTGCCTCTCCCATCTGGTCAAAGCTGGAGCGCAGCTCTTCTCCTGCCTTCTAATCCATCCCGTCCATTCCCCGGGAACGCCGAGAAGCGGGTGGAGAAGCGGGTGGAGAAGCGGGCTTGGCGCTAACCGTGGGGGCTGCCCGCTCCGTCTCTGCTTTTGCTATTTTGCTCCTCTGGATCTTCTCACTTGCTTCCTTCTGTAGCGTCAGAGCCCTTTCCCCTTTCCCCTGCTTTGCTTCCTTGGATTGCACACCAACCCACCTCTACACTGCCTGTTTATCTCTCTCCTCCGTTCATTTTCTGCCTATCGTTTATCACACGCCCAGTAATTCCCAAGGCTCCTTCTGTATTCCAGTCTCTTAGGATCAAAACGTGATGAAGCTGCTTTGCTACCCCCTCCTCTCTGTTTCTAGGCTAGTTGCCATCTTCTCTTCTTTGCAGCCTTAGTGGGTTTGCCAGCCCATTCTTTTCATGGTTGCAAAATCTACTAATTTCAAGCAAAAGAGAAGGAAACCATTGCATTTATAAATGGGTGAACTGCTGAACAGAGAGAGGGATGCTACTCTACAGAAGCGTCAGTATTCTGAACAGGAACACAGGACATATATTTGCACGCATATCTGGGTGCCTGAAAATGAGAGAGATGGGTAGGTTGATCTAGGCTCACAGGTCTTAACTAAGAACAATAGTTCTTGGGGAAATAGAGTAATATTGCATGGAAACCAAAGGAAGGGGCTGAAGGTCCTGCATATTTTGGGGAGACTGAGTCATCTTTCAGCACCAGCCTGCAGCAAAGGAAGGAGACGGAGTGTGAAAAAGCATTTGATTTCTATCGCCATGGCTTTCTTCCTTAAAAATTGGCATGGGGAGGGGGAGGGCAATGCAGCAGCATTAGGATTCAGTGCGCTTGTTGGCTCTGCAGATGGAGTGGAATCTCGCTCCCTGGTACCCGACTCTAAATGTACGTAGCCACTGAGGGTTGACTTGGCCTTGTGTTCCTTGCTAAAGTATCCTTTGAGAAATTGTCAAACCAGGGCTCTTCAGGTGGCTGGTAGGAACAGCAGATTCCTTTTATTCTCCCTTCACCAGCTCATTGTCCTTCCATTGCAATCATCCCCCTTTCTTGTGCTTGAAGCAAAGGCCACAGGGCAAGAGCTTTGAGTTACAAGGGTACAAAAGAGGGGCAGGTCATATCCGTAAGGTACCTTAGAGACATGACACAAGCAAGCAAGAATGCAACTTGGGCTGGATTATTTATTTGTTTAAATATGGCAGCTCTGAAAACAATCTGGTGAGATGAATACTCCGATGTACATTCTTCTGCCTTTTCATACGGCTGTAACCCTAAAGCTTCAGATTCTCTGCTGCAATATAGCATTTAAAAACAAAACCCTCTCCTGTTCTGATTTACCTTATTTTTCACTCTTCCAGTTTTGGTTGGCTGCAAAGTGCTTTAAAGGTTCTAACTGAAGTCCTTTCCAGGCACCTTTTCAATTCAGCTTTGATACCATCTGCTGAATATAAGGGCTTCAAAAGAACTTCTTGGCTAAATGAAACCATCTAGTCCCTCAACCCCTTTTGGACACTGGCTAATTGGAAGCCTCTGGAGACCAACAGGCAGAACCTGAAGACGATGTTTTGCACCTGTTCCGCGTCTCCACCTCTCTTCTCCTAGGCCATCTCTTTGCTGTTTAGCATTAATTGTTGCTGATAGGAATGGATTTGCCTAAGCCAGTTCAAAAGCCACTGGAGCTGATGGCCAGGACTGTTATCTCAAAGTTAATACCGCAGAATCTGTTACATATTATTTCTCTGTGATCTGTGAGAGATTTTCATTTTCTGACCAGTGCTTGTGAAGCTGTGTTCTAATACTTGACAATATATATTTTTGACTACATGGTCCTTGCTAGTCCACAATCTTGATTCCAAACACATACTATCCCACCGTAAAGTTTGGTGTTACTTCTCATGCAAAAATCTGCTTGCATTTCTGGCTAAAGAACCCATCAAGAAATTACCAAGGATAAAAGAGCAGCAAATAATCTTAAAACTGGCATAGAGTACTATGAGATACATCAAAGTACTTGAGCTGGAACTCCAAATGGCATTTCCTTCATGCTAAACACTGACCAGCCTGCCAGGAAGATTATCCATATAAACCCTCCATGTTCTTACATAGCAATTTCCGGGGGTTAAAGCAGATGACTATGCACCTGTGCCCAATATGTCTGCCTCCACTTTGACCTCTTTAAGTCCTTTTTCTGAGAAGGTTTGTTCACCTTACAGGGTCAGTTCTAATGATGTCGCTTAAAATATTCTCATGGAACTAACCCCCAACTGTTTGAGAGTCATTAATGTCAGTGGCAAATCTAAAGTTCCTAATAATTTCCTGTGGAAAATGTCCTTAAATTCTGAATGTCCCTAAAGTGGTCATAGGATTGCTCAATCATGAATGAATGGAACACAGTTCTATCTGTAGGATTTAATGTGGAGAAATGGGGGTTGTAACTAGGACACTGTGATCTAATTCTAGAGACCCAGTTTACTAGGGATTGGTTAGATAGGAGTAGTGTTAATTTATAACGATTTCTCCCTTTCTCTCTCATCTCCACCTTCCATTTTCCCTGCCCTGGAGGTTGTGTGATGAAGATTAATTTGCTATTTCTGGGCTTGTGACATTTTTTGGAGCCTCCTGCTGGCTGCAGCCTCACTGTTGAGTCTGGACTGGCTCCAGCCAACAAGATTAGCATTTCAGGCCATGAAGTGAGGCCAGAAGGAAAATGGCATATGCCAGGACAGAGCAGGAGACACGAGGACTATGGAATAATATAGAGAGGGCAGGAGTGAGGATGCCTGAGCCATCAGGTCCTCTTAGATAGGAATGTTGGAAATCTGCTTTTCGCTTGAAGACTTAAATTAATCTTGAAAGAAAACTAAATACTATAAGTAACTTCATTTCCTCTTTTATTTTTTTTCTGCCATCTCTTCACATCTTTCTACTAGGGAAATCCAGATAATCTATTCTTGGGGAGCAAAGGGCTTCTTTGTGATGAATATGATTATAAGTGTACATATCTTGATGGAATTTTTAAAATGATGGTGATAAATGTGTCTGCAGGATCCAACCTTGGGTCCGTCAGCAAGACCAGAGATCTTTAGTCTCCTGAATTTTCAGACTTGTGTTGGAGCCCATCCTCAGGGACCGTCTCTCCCGGTGACCGACCCAGATTGGATCCTGCAATATTATCCTGGGACATGTACAGTATCTGCCTTCATTTGTTAAAGGTGTCCCTCAAAAGCTCTCTTTGTAGAGTTACAAATTGTGATGTTTTAAGCTACCTTCTAATTTGATCGCCCCTGTGTGTTTGTCTTATCTGAACCCTGAATTAAAATGTACGTATTTCAAGATATTCACCAATCAGAAAGGATTTAATTTACAAGATTTATAATGTGTAGAAATACACCGGGTATTATGATTTCTACCTAGGCATTAATACTAATCTTATTATATTAATTTTACTCTTTTGAATTATACTTTAAAAAATGAATTTGGACAGAAAGTATACATGTGTGTAAGTGCCTGTCCCCATGAAAATTAAGAAAATACAAGGATATATTTTAAATTATCTACATTCTGAATAGTGTTGAATATTTGCTGTATAAATTTTATTAAATATGATTTTAAAGACTCTGATGTGGTGACAGCCATATAAAACCATCATCTAATTCCTAGGCAATCTCTTTGCTTTTTAGCCATAATGTCCTTTAGCCAAATAAAAGAGAAAGCTGCTATTGTAAAATAATATCTGTCCCTTTAAGCAACACGTTAAGGAATTAAAATACCTTCCTAATCCCTTGATACTTCTCTTGATACCCTGCCAGCGGGAGGGGGCCTTAGCTACTGAGGGTTCTGCAAGTGAAAATCTGCTATTGACATTGTTCCAATCTATCACAATTCTCTGAGCTGAAAAGCCTCAGTAAATATCCCCCATATTTTCTGCTCTGGCAAGTGGAAACCAGCAGGATTTAGTATGTAACCAGGATGTACCACTCCTTTCTGGGCTGGATTATGATACATTTTTCTAATCCTTTCCACGGGGGGCTCAGGGTGGCATTGTGTGACCTCCTTCTCCATTTAACCTCACCCAGACCCTGTGAATTAGCTTAAATGTCAGCACAAACACTGGGATACTTTCTAGAGAGGCCCGTTGTCACCAAGGAGCATTTTTTTTATATTAAAGTTGTTTTTTATTTTTTATTTTCAAAACAAACACAACACATAAAATCTTCCTTTTTTACATACGATAGAAAGTGTA